AAAAAAAAAAAAAAAAAAAAAGCATAGATAAGGCTGGCGAGGCAGCTCAACAACAGAGTGCTTACCTAAAATGCTCAAGGACCTGAATTCAATCCCAGCATCATGAAACAAACAAACAAACAAAAACCAAAGGCACAAATTTTGCCAAGTAATGCAGCTCTAAATATTATAGTATTAGTGTAGTTAATGTAGTTATAGAATGCTGATTTAATACTTGATATGTAAATAATGATACCAACTCTTTTGCTCTGTAGCTAATTTATATTTTATTTACATATGCTATTAGTTTAATTTTATTTAATTTTTAATTAAATAATTTTATTTAAGTTTCACCACGGCTTCTCAGGGCTTTAGAAGAACAAGTGACAATGCCGTTTTCCTAAATCATAAAAAGCATAAATTCCTTCTGTTTTATTTCCTTTCATATTGTGTTCCTGGATTTATTAAGTAATGGCCTTGAGTCTAAAGAGGTAAGTCCATGCTATAAGAGATAAAGTGACACAAGTGATTAATTTAACGCTTCTTTATGCCTATTAATACTGGTTTGAGGCAGAGCTGATCCTACCAGAACTTTGAATATAATTATAGCCAGACATGAGGTCACTTATTTTTTCCTTTTTTTTTTTTTTTTCGGTGCTGGGGACTGAACTCAGGGCCTTGCACTTGCCAGGCAAGTGCTCTTCCACTGAGCTAAATCCCCAACCCCATGAGGCCACTTAGAAAGTCTAATGTGACATATCCACAATTAAAAGATACAGGGTTAATTGAGATCAAACCAATATACCATGTAATTCATTCATTTTAAGTGGAAAGTTCAATGATTTACTACATTCCTATTTGTGTGACCATCACCACAATCAATTTTAGAACATTTTCATTGCTCCAAGAAGAAACACTGTATATATTAGTAGCTGCTCCCCATTCATTTTATACCAACTCCTGGCAACTAACAATCTATTTTCTGTCTCCATGCATTTGCCTGTTTCTACAGTTCATGTAAAACATCCAATATGTAGCTTTTTATCATTCAGCAAGTTTTCAAGGTCCATCCATGTTGTAGCATGGATCAATACTTTGTTTCATTCATTGACAGTCAAATAATATTCCATTGTATAGATATATCACATTTATTTATTCATTGATCATCAAATAGACACTTGGTTATTCTTAATTTTGGTTATTATAAACAAGGCTGTTGTGAACATTTGTGCACAAGTGTTGTGTCACCATATGACTTCAATTATCTTGGGTATGTAGCTAGGAGCAGAACTACTAGATCATAAAATAATTTCATGTTTGACCTTTTGAAGACCTGCCAGACTGTTTTCCACAAAGGCTATATTATTTTTCATTCCTACTAGCAGTATAGAAGATTTCCAATTTCTTAACACATTCATCAATAATCATTTGTATTTATCTTTTTTTTTTTTTTTTGGTGGTACTGAGGTTTGAACTCAGAATCTCTTACTTGCTAGGCAGGTGCTCTACCACTTGAGTCACTCCTCCAGCCTTGTTTTATTGGGTATTTTTGAGATAGGGTCTTGAGATCTATTTGCCTGGGCTGGCTTCAAACTGTTGTCTTCCTGATTTGTGCCTCCTGAGTAGTTAGGATTACAGGTGTGAGCCACCGGAACCCCTGTATCTTTTTGATTATAGCCCTCTTAGTGGGTGTGGTCTCTCACTGTGATTTTTATTTGATTTTTCCCTGATGGCTAATGATGCTGAGCATCTTTACATTTGTTTATTGGGTATCTGTATTCAGATCCTCTGTCCATTTTTAAATTGGGTTGCATATTACTTGGCTATAAATGTTCTTTATATATTCTAGATACAAGTCCCTTATCAAATTTTCTTGATGGTTTACACTTTCTTGGTGGTGTTCTTAGAAGTACAAACAGAATTCATTTTGTAAAAACATCATTTATTCATAAAATCACAAAAAGCTGAAAAGACTCAATTTTACATTACTGTATCATGAGGGAAAGTAACCTGCTATCATGGTAAATGTAACACTTCAGTGATGGTTTGTGATGTTGGGCAGTCTCTTCTTCAAAACCAAGGCTTATTGTACTTAACCCAGGGATAAAGGACACAGGCTAACTGTGCAAGATAGAAACTACATGGAAAGAGAATAGAACAGGCAATCCTTATCTAGTTCTTGATTGGGTGGAGAAGGCAAAATGGTAAAGCAAAGGAATAAAGCAACATGGAAATTAAACATGTATTGAGGGACAGAGGATTCATGGAGAAGTATTTCCTTAGAATTAGTGGGAACACGTGCAACACAGATAAGCTGTAGTATCAAGGATAATTACGTTCACAGAGCAGTACTGCAGATCTGTTTCAGTGACTGCTGTGAGTCCTGCATGGCTCTTTCTTTCTATTCTTCTTGATAAACATTCTTAGGAAGACTATGTAGGTATTATGCAGATTTGACTCTGTAGATGTCTTAGATTTAGCTCTAAAGCAACTCTAAGTCTCTGATAGATTTTTAAAACAGCAGAAATCCCAAAGATATGCTAGGGTAACAGTGAAAAAGAATTATCCTTAAAACTCATTTGTGTGAGTCAGTTTGAGTGACTCATTCTCATACTAGTTCAGCTATTTTTATCTGAACTGAAATCTAGTAGAGAAGAAGTAAACAGATACAGCTCTGTTCTATAGCACATGACATCAAAGAAAACAGTTTTGAACACTAACATAATCATAAGTAAACAGTTTTGTTTTATTTTGTTTTAGTAGTACTGAGGTTTGAATTCGAGGCCTCACATTTAGTAGGCAAGTGTTCTACCACTTGAGACACTCCACCAGTTCTTTTTTCTTGGGTATTTTTTGAGATAGGGACTTGCTTCTTGCCTGGGCTGGCCTTGAAACACTATTCTCCTGATCTCTGCCTCACAAGTAGCTATGGTTACAGGCTTGAACCAGCGTTGCATGGATGAAAACAGATCACAGATTATTTACCCCAGACATACTTTCCACTCTGAAGCTGGATATGCAGGGTGGTGAATGGTTCCACACGAATGAGATAGTGCATGACCCCTGCAGAATTTGAATAGTGAGTACCATAATGAAACTTATCAATTGTTCCCATAGGATCCTCAAAATTCTCATACCTAAAAAAAAAA